AAACCAAGTTAATAAATCTAAAAATTCTGGCCGTGGATTGGAAGCCTTCAGACCTTATACTATTTAGAGTGGTAATAGTATGTGTAGGTCCGGGGGGCGTGGCTTATAATATCCAAGAAGCCGAATGATTCGCCCTTAAACGGCCCCAAGCCACGTCGGCTCCGTATAGACTCTACTGATTGATATTGTGGAACCAACCGTAATGCTATGATACACATCTGGGAGGTGGACGTACAGCAATGTGCATCTGCTATCATTGCTAACAAACAGTTGAGAGCTGCGCATACTTGTCGACTATCATACCATCGACTCCTCCATTGCCTCTAGATCGTTAGGCATCGCCCCGTGTTTTTTAATCATATGTCGTCTCCAATTGTCTTTTCTCGGGAAGGCTTTTCTTCCTTTGAAGTATGCACATGTTGGTTCCGTACAGTGATAGGCTTTCGATTTGACATGCTTATCGTTGATGTGTCGATCAAGGTGTGTCTTTGTACCAAACTTCTTATCACATCCCTCGTAAGGGCACTCGTGTTTGCGGTCGTGATAACGTTTATGGTGGTTAAGTTTATGGACCTGATCAAAATACCGGCCGCACTCTTCGCAGGTATGACCGGATGATTGGGGAGAAGGGATCTTGGATACCTCCGGTGACGAACTCGACTCTGGTTCCATCTTGACATGTTCATTTATGTTTGGATACGGTGATGGGGATACTGTAAGCCGGGTATCTGGCGTCCTTCCCATGGATGGATCCGTAGAGCTCTGCCCTGGTGTGGTACTGTAGTCGTACGAGTCCCCAGATAGACGAGGCTCGTCATCACTAGGGATATCCAGGAAGCTCTCTACATCGATGTCCTCTTGAGAACCATGAAAAAAGTTCCCGGAGTTTTCTTGCGCCGTCTGGTCTGTGACGATGGCAGGAGGTGAGTTAGGAAATGTCGGGGGTGACGCCGAGTTCTCCATTTGGTAATGAGTATAAGCAGCTTTCTCGGCAGCGTTAGAGGGTTGCATGATGGACATCGGCGACACGAACGATTCTGGCTGAAGAGGAGGAGAGTGTGAGCTGTGGAAGATAGAAGGTCTATGAGTAGCATCAAGTGTCCCGTCCAGCTCCATAGGCTCCGGGATGGCCGGGCTCATAAGTCGTTCTTGGGGCCGGGTCTCGCATTGTGGCTGAGTTGAGTGAGGTAACCGATCGGTGGAGTCCGGACTTCTGAGGGCAGCTGAAGGTAGCTCAGGATCTCTCTCGGTGGTTTCTCGTATTGTTGAGCTAGTCCGAAGAGGGTACACGTCGTACTGGGAGTCTCCTTGTTTCTGTCTCTTGTGTTGATGATCCCTTTCTGACCAGCTCCCGCCTACAGAAGCGGTTGAGATACCCGTTTCTCCAGAAATTTCGGCAGGCTCTTCAAAAATTTGATTCACAGGTTTTGCCTGAGTACCAGTTCCTTCCACGGCTTCTAAGCTGGATTCTGGTTTCATACTGACGGGACTAACAACTGGCGAAGCGGGGAAGTACTGTTGAGATGTTGAGTACTGGGGGCTTACGGTGCCATGAGCCGAGGAATGCGTAGAACGTTTCCTCTTGATGCTATTCCATATTCGACTAGTTAGAGAGCCGCTTCTTCTTCGATGTTCTCGGGAATCTCTCAGCTGAGCTTCGTAAAGCTCAGTCATTTGTCTTGATGGTGGTATCGGTTCTTGCTCAGGATTTGAGCCCATCGAGATTCTGGTGTCATAATAACTAGAATTGGCTGCTTCGTATCCCGTGACGGCATTGTCAGAAGGCAGATGGGCTCCAAGATCGTTGGTAATTGGAAAAGCTGCAGGCTGAGGGGGCAGAGGAAAGTCGACGCCTGGGGGCAGAGGTGGCTGACCGAAGTTTTGAGGTAGGTGATAGGATTCATGACCACTCACAAATCCGCCTCCATAAACGGCAGGTTGTATCTGTTGGAACTCAGAGCCGTCGCTGAAGCCTGGGTTGATTCTCTCGAAATCATCCTTCATAGAAGGGGGATGATCCGGTTGTGTGGCAGGGGTTTGCCTAGGCCGGAAGCCCTGGAAAGGGAATAAGGTCCTGACTTGAGAGACCGTAGAGCTTCCAGCTGGCAATATCCCCGCTTCTTTCGCCTCTCTTAACTTCCGTCTGTACCGGAAGTAGAGAAAGCCCAGGACTACGAGTAACAGGCTGCCTCCGAAGGCACAGCCGATAACCGTTCCAGCAATTGCACCGGCGGACATGTGACTCCCCCGCGCCCTGAGCCCGGACCTGGGGTTCAGAACAGGCGCCATATTGAATTAGATGAGAGCCGAAGCTCGCAGTAAAGGGTGAATAGATTCCTGCAGATTCCAGAGGTTATGCTCTAAGCATGGGACGATACCTAGCCTGGATGAAAGACTAACGGGTGCAAGCCAAGAGAAGTAGTTTAGTATCTGCCGAGAAAGAATTAATTAAGACTCGGGCCGTCAGTGGCGGGGAAGGGTTATGCGAGACCCAGATGGGCGGTTTTAGGTCAGGGTCTCTCGAGTTGAAAAGGTGGAGGGTACGATCTCCCTCTCTCTCTGTCTCTCGCGCGCGTATAATCAGCCGGTCAAGTCAGTGGGATGAGATTCGGCCAACACAGGCGGCCCAATGACGGCCTGACAAGTGCTGCGCAGGGCAGGGGCAAATGGATTATGCCAAAGATGAATTGATGATGGCCTAGGTCATATTTTGATCATATTATGAGATGGATAAGAGGAGTTGACGTTGAAGAACCAGGATGTAATGATTTATCGGATTGATTCAGCCTCATCAAGAAAAAAGTTGGAGGCGGAAGTGAACCCGGAGGCGCCCTACAGATGCAGGCAGAGTTACATTGGGATTCCCTAAAAAAACCTAGGAAACATACAAAATCCCACGGATATCGATGGCTGGCGCTCGTGTACATGTATGTACAGGGTATGTACAGGGTATTGTGCAAGGGGTCCTTGCCAATTGGAGTCCTCAATTAGGACATAAAGTTACTTTAGGTTTCAATCAATTTTGTTATGACAAAATCTCCGAGACCCTCTTATTCTATGTTTCCTAAGAAATTCCCACGTTAAAATGTCGAAAGGGTAAGCACAAGGTTAGTGCACTAACACAAGCGCTTACCAGCGCACGTGTGCACCAAAACTTGGGTTAGCAGGTTAGCTACCTCTTTGGTACGCTACTGCGCCACAATCTATAACCAGTAGAGGAAAGGGGCTAATCGATAGTAGCCATGGAAGTATCCAGTTATCCTGTCAAGTACCTGGCAGAAGCTACTTCTACTGTCGGAGACCTCTCGGTGAACGCGATGAATCGTGTTTTAACACATTAATCAATTAATCAACGCGCTACTTTGCATCAAACATCTACGGAAGAGCCGTAGCAGATCAGCCTCAATTGCACCACGCTTTACACCACACGTTGTAACCCCAGATACGTCATCGCAATGTCCTCTGGTCTAATGAATGTGTCTGGTAGAAAAGTTAACTTGGTATTGTGTTTGTGGTTTTTGTCCATGGGAGTAGCCGTTTTTGTGACATGATCCAATCAGAACGCTACAAATCTCAACCCTCTTCCATTTTCTTTCACTCCCAAAACTAGACATCTATCATCTTACCTCGAAACGGGGATCATCCAAGCTCAAAGTTGATAATGGCCTCAGATCTCGTAGCGATTCCTGTCCACGCGAATGATTAGGTGGGTAGGTATTCATACACTTAATCGGGCGCAAAGGATCCATAATATCGTTAGTCTCAGAATTAATATAATATGGCTCACTCGAGTCCTATTAAGGCCTCAAGTATGGCCAACGCTTCCATTCCGTTCGGTCAAAGGCCAGCCTTGCCGTTGATGTTGGGGAACTCTTATCAATTGAGGCCAATTATTTGCGTCTCATCCGGCGAGCGATTCGACTCACTCAAGTTGAACAAACAGACAATATATCCACGAGCCATAATCCAGAACCATTCGACTTTTAGATGAGGCATCTAGTGGAGAATCTGCTTACTGTGGCGATGGAAGGAGTTATATTTGTCTCCTAATACTCTCTGCCTAGTAGGCAATTTACATAGTACGACTATCTCACCGCCACCAGTTATTAGAGCGTCCTGGTTTATAATACATTTGCCTAACTAAGGTATCTTCACCCTAAGATAATCTCCACAGAAATGTAAATGCAACAGCCTAAAGAGCAGCCTTTGCGTTTTGGTAGGTTCATGTCTCGCACCGTAGACATCAAAACCCGAATGTAATATGTATAAACCATACTCTCTAAAGTACTATTGATAACGAACACAGGTAGCAAGTATAACACGTCCGTCAGGCACGCGCCTGTTCATTAGAGGGCCTTAGAGTGAAAGACTACGGGTTCTGTCGCTGCAAGGATCGAACTATTTTACATGGGAGCATGGAAGTCGAAATACCAGTACACTGTTTATGGTTTTGAGGCCGGTCAAAGTATTTTCGACTCAGCATCCTTCTTGTATCAGCGCTGCAGTCCTAGGTGGTCAAAATGTACTTGGGTTAAAAGCTTAGGTACCTCAAATGAAACCAGCAGCATGCGAGTTGGGGTGTTAAGGGCACGCTGTGTAGCCTAACCCGATATTACCCTACCCTACCTCGTGAAGAAGGTCTTTTCTATTTGGGTATATGCTCCATCCCGTAACAAAAAGCCATAGAAAACCACTGGACGGTCATCTCACATACCTTAATAGCGGAGGGAATATCACTATTTCTCGCCGGTTCTCGTGTGTCGTGTGACAAGTCAGTTGCGTTACAGCATATACGGCTTTCTCGGAAATGCCAAACTTTCTATGGTTCGATTGTAGGACTCGGTGCTGGAGATTCTAGATCGTAAACCGACATATAAAGAATTGATGCATCAGACTGCAGGTTGCGTATAGCTTGACCGGGGCAACTCTGTCCAGACCCTTCGTGAGCATGGTCCTTGCTACCGTGTTCGGCCCTTATTCTAGAGAATAATCCATAATTCGTGGAAAGGCATTTATTTACAAAGGTAGCATAACAATCTCAGGGGGTAATCGGCCGTTCTAGAAACGGGCTGCAAGAAAGCCTCATCCTAGAGTCTAGGCTCTTAGGCCCGTAATAAGTCTTAACCCGACGATATTGGCATTGGGCATTACCGCTTCTATCCGGTCCAACATATTCCAGACTTCGAAGGAATATAGTAACCAACCCTTGTAATGACGTTGGCGCAATCAGTAAAAAGAGCTGACACGATAGAATATAATATCGCGATAACATTCACCGGTGGTGAGTGGCATGGACTAGGATACCATGTCACCAAGAATCTATTTATTATACTCTTCGTTGTACAGCAATTCTTATCATTAGCTGGCCAAGTGACTTAGCTACTATTCCGGAAGGTCAGCGTATTACATGACATTCGAATTATGGACGTTTCGTACAAGACCTAGTGCGGCTACCTTGGATTAAAACCCCATACTTCGTGACACTACGCGGGATATTATAGAAATGACTACATCAAAAGTTGAAAAATTTTTATACGAGTAACAGAATAGCAATGATAAACAATAAATGTGTAGGCGCGAGGATCGTACAGCTTGACGCTAGAGATAATGAATGCATCACTGACGAATTTGATGTCAGCTGCATAACAGTCCCTGCTGGTGCTTGCATATATCAGAAAATTGCCGTATACACAACAGCCTGTTGGCACACACCGTCTATTCTTGACAGCCAAGCAAGACGACGCGATGCAGATCTGGAGAGCTCTTGACCTCGATCGAGGTTCTACAACCGGGAGTGGATGAAGGGCTAGGGTTGAATCGTTTACAGGACTAAGACTTTCCGCCACGAAGGTCGATCCTCAGCCGAGATAGAAATGATTAATTACACCTTTTAATACGCTTACTAAGTTTCGTATGATCTATTATAAGTCGAGTCGACAGGAAGCAGGCCCTTGCTTTTTTTTTCCTCTAGTCAAATCACCCAATAATATAACAGTAATCCTTTAAACTTATACGAAGAGATGGATATTCCGTCGTCCATCAGCGTACAACATTTGATGGAAATATCTAAGTATACGTGGGTAGCTTCCCAAAGAAATAGAGTTATACGTGAGTTCTGTTAACTACTATACAATCCTATAGACACGAAGAACACCGCGTGATAAGTAAAATGTGATATGCCTACTTTAGGTATGCATCTCGTCGAAGCGTCGTCCAATCCGATACTGTATTTCTACTATTTGTATGGCTTATATCTGGCCAGGATCTTATATAATAATACCTACCCGTATGCTAAAAAAGATATTATCTTGGATAGTACTGCATGACCTGAATGATCGTGTAGCTTGATTACCTATTACCTAAGTTAGCTATTATTTTCCGCAAGGTGACTGCGTGGCAACGATTAAAAGAGGCGGCTACCAATTTACTTTGGCTTTGGCCGTAAGAAAGTCAGTTCTAAATTAAGGTGAGTTAGTATGTACCTACATGTGTAGTTGACCTTAAGCCGGTCTAATAAGCCGCGGGGACGGGCTTAGACGGGGGGGTATGACCATGTGGTTCTTACCTTGTAGTCGACGGATTGTTTAGACTGGCGTTTAGAAACATTTTATTTCCTACGTAAATTTCCGGTGCTTTACGCCTCCATGGATATCATGCCTCTTTTAATCGAAAACATCGGTGTTTCAAATCATAGGACTATTTCACTACCTTACTTTGTCTTTGTTATTGTTTTCAAGCCGATGCAGGTGTACATATGTGCCTAATGCTTACCTGACAGTGACATAGTAGTAATATTCAATGATCATACTTACATACCTCCGTCTAGGTGGTATTATACATTAGTAACATCACATACAGGTATACATATGTATGCTTAACGTGCATATCTAACCTAGATCGTACATAGTATGTAAGTTGGGTACCTTATATGTATGTACCTTACATACATGTAAGGCCTAGGCCAGAGTAGATCGCTCTTCCCGACAGCAACTGCCAACTCATGTACTAGCCAATGCGATCGAAAAAGAATGTGCTCCGCAATGTACGTAAGCGTTCTAGTGGTCCCAAAGCAGCGACCCCTGGCTGCTCTGGCTCTAAAGTCCCCAAAAATATTATTTTACGGGTTCCCGATCTCTAACCCCCGGACACAATTCTGAGCATCATGGCAACCAGCGCGTGCACTCTTTCCAATCCCGATTCTGAACGCACCAAAGACCGTGGCCAGATCTGCACACCAGCAGACGCACCCGGCAAGATGGATTTACTTGTAATAATCAAATGCTATCTTCTTCCTCGGCATGGCCTCCGTCTCCAGTTGAGTTGTCGATCCTCATCCGTGTTTGCTTTGCCGGGCTCCTCTCTCCAGAAGACTAGGTCTAGGGTCATATGTCTGGACCTCGAGGAAGCCTATCTCTTGTCGGCCTCAGATATTTCTATTCTGTAGGTGGATCATATCACGGTTATGGTCTTATTCTTGGCCGGAAGTCTGCGTTGCCACAGGGTCTAAGGGGAGTCTCACTTTACATTGTGTCTCTTTGTGCTTTCTCTTTGCCTTTCAGTCCACAATACTCGTATACAATCATATACGAATCGGAATTATAGTCTGGATCTTGCTCACGGGTACGCCCGATTCGGTTGGGTTACGTCCAGTATCGTAGGATAGTCTCGTCTCGACTGACCTGGCCTTCAAGACGAAATTCCTAGTGACTATCTGCTTTTCTCGGATATATAATTTCCATGGACACCCACTGCATTAGTGAACCACAGCTATACGTTAGCGCCTCTTTAGAACTTAAAGGAAAAACTCCCTGATCTGGAGACGCTTTTACCATTTTCAGAAAAGCCAGTTTGTCTCTAGCTCGACTCTAGATACCGTCATCCTGGTTGGTCCCATCGGGAGTGGTGGGTCAGCCTTGCTGTGTTGTACATTGGCCTAAGCGACGAGAGCACGAATATCTGAATCACCTTCAGCCGCATCGATCTGGAATTAGACCCTAAACTCGATCATTGGGGTCTAGATTCGCCTTCGTCATCACGCACCTGCTCATACTACGTTTCCGGCAGCAGTTTTAACGTGGAGAGCATAGGGACGAACAGACTATCAAAGACGACCACTGTGTCTATCTGCAGGTCATATTTCACCAAATCTTGGCCAGCTCCACTAGAGAGCTCCGGTCCGTGGAAGAGATAACTCCTTTCAAAAACCGTCTACTACTGCGTCTCGCCGGCTCTCGCGGCAGTTACTCCCACCCTATCGAACAAGAGCTTTCTATCTAAAGTACAACTTTGGTAATCTGTCTAGCTCGAGTCTTACATACTCATTGAATAAGTCGCCATGTCGGTAAACAATGTCCTTGTCTACATTGTACGCCACGACTTGCGTGTCTCTGATAATCCCATCCTGCATCATCTCACCTCCACAACCGGCCATAGGTTCACGCATCTCTTGCCTCTCTTTGTCTTACTACCTCATCAACTTGAGGTTTCCGGATTTCTGAAGGAAGGTGGAAAATCACCTTTTCCTGAAGCTAAAAGCGAGGTTGGACGCTATTGGAGATGTGGGCCGTACAGGGCTGCGTTTATTGCCCAATCTATGTGGAACCTGAAAGACAACTTGGAGAAACTAGGAAGCAACTTGACCACTAGGATAGGTACGTACGATGGTGTATTAAGGGCACTCATCGACGGTTTGCGACTGAAAGGACTGGATGTCGGAGGAGTGTGGGCGATAGGAGAAGAAGGCTACGAAGAGAAACGAGATGAGAAGCTGATATCGGAGACTTGCTCGAGTCTTGGTATAGACTTTCGAACATGGGTAGATGAAAAATACTTCATCGATGAGTGAGTCATGATCATAGCCTCTAGACGGCCTTAACTGACGAATCCTCACTTGTCTAGTCGAGATGTAAAACTCGAAAAGGATGATCTCCCAGACGTATTCACGACTTACAGGAAAATGATGGAACCGTTGCGAGAGAAACCTAGGGCGACCTTGTCTACCCCCCAGAAAGATACATTGCCCAAGTCCGTCGAAAAGTCTTTAATCCCAACGCAGGAATCGCCTTTCGAGATCCCGTCTTCATACGATGAATTCGAAGAAGCACTTTTAAGACCTGTTAGGGGAACCTTGTCTAACTCTCCACCTTTCCCTGAAGGAGCTAAGTCGGCTCATCCTTTTCGCGGTGGAGAAGATAGTGCTCATAATAGATTGGTTTATCTGATCCAATCGGGAAGTGCCTCCTTGTATAAGAGTTCGCGTAATGGGCTTTTAGGAAGCGATTTCAGCACGAAACTGTCCGCCTATCTTGCACAGGGATGCATCACCGCTCGTCAGGTACATGATAAACTTGTGGCATACGAAGATGGAAAAGACGAGTCACTAGCCGGATCTCAGGGGTATGGCGATGGAGAAAACGAAGGGACAAAAGCGATACGGTTTGAGTTGCTGTGGCGTGACTACATGAGGCTCTGCACTAGGAAGTTCAAGGAAAAGCTCTTCCTCCGATCTGGATTCAGAGATGATCGTGCCAACAAATGGAAGTCGGCTAAGAAGGAGGATATAGCCGACGGGCAACAACAATCGGCGGACGAAATTTCTAAGATAGTGCAGAGAATATTCGATGGAACTACTGGAATGGGACTGATCGATGCTTCTCAAAGAGAGCTATTGCATACAGGATATACTTCGAACCGCGCCCGCCAGAATGTCGCGAGTTTCCTTGCTAAACACCTCTGTATCGATTGGCGTTATGGTGCTGAATGGTACGAAATGCTCTTGGTCGATTATGACGTTTCATCGAACTGGGCAAACTGGCAGTACGTTGCTGGGGTGGGAAACGACCCGCGAGGAGAAGCACGGATCTTTAACCCCGTAAAACAAGCTTTCGATTACGACAAGGACGGGGAATACGTACGTTGTTGGGTACCCGAGGTGCGGAAGCTTGAGAAACTAGAAAATGTCTTTCAGGCCTGGACGACACCGAAAGAGGATTGGGATCGATTTGGCTTGAAAGGCCTAGCTATGGCCGAGGACCCGGTGAAGAAGATTGACTTTTCTGTGGAAGGAAAACCTAAAAGTTCTAAACGACCATTTATCCGGCGACGTGGTCGTGGCCGTGGGGGAAACAATCACACCACGCAGTCTCCTGCGACTGAGCAATCGCCGAGCGACACGAAGGATGCCGACAGCCTCAGTAAGAATGAGAAATCAGGCAATGGGCCACCCAGCAATCCCGCCCAGCCAAACATACCCGAAAGTCACCGTGGTAGTTTTCGAGGCGGGCGAGGATACGGCGGAGGCCACCGAGGTCGTGGCTTTCGCGGATTGAGAGGAGGGTACCGGGGTCGGGGTTCGTCAAACTATGGTCAATCACCGTCGCCAATGCAGCAATCAGCTCCGGCCGAACAAGCGCAATAGGATTCGTTTTATCGTGCGACGAGCTATTGTAATTACTACCCGCTGCCTGCGGATTTCCTTCCCTGGGGTACTGTACTATTCTATGGAGCTAATATCAGCGGAAATCATCCCCCTAACGCATTTCCTCGACCGCTACGCCCCTAGGTTCGATGAACTGGTAAGGAGCGGGTTTTCAAATATATATATAATGAATGGTTGACAAATCTCGTGACTTACTAACTATTTCTCATTTTGTGGTTCAAAAAGAGGTTGTAAACGGGAATGGTGGAGACATGTTAGGAACGTGTCCCCATTGCATGTGTAACTATGTTCTATGATAGATATTTCTTAAGATAGCGAAAAACAGCTTTATGCTCTGGTATCGTCTTTCATTTACCCCTTGTGCCAAAACGCCCGTGGATGCTGGATGAGGTTATCATCTCCTTACTACCTTCGGGAAAGTCACCTCAAAGGCTATGTGAACTTGCCTAATGTACCACTAACGTACCGCCCTAGAATTCTTCAACAAGCGGTTTTAGCTTAACGCCCTTGGGCACAACAGCTAGAGCTTTGGCCTCTACGCAGATCTTCCCATGAAGTGTCTCTAGTGTACCTTCAACCCACATCTTACGATCGCTCTTGGACGGGTCCTCTCCCTCGCGGATCATTGGTTGGGCGCGAATAACGTAAAAAGCGGAAGTCAACGTAGGCGCACGGTATTGGAGTTCAAGACGGGCGGTAACCCCTGTGCGTGCGGGAAATAGTAGCACTGCGCACCGAACTAAGCTCTCATCCAGCAGCGTCGCCAGTGCTCCGCCATGAACAACACCCGGCCAGCCCGCCGTCGCGGTGCCGAGGTACATCACGCTGATGACCTCGTTGGTCTTAGTATTTCGAAACACGCGCTGGAAAGGTATGCCGTGGGAACCGCCTAGAGGCCCGGAAGTCAGGCGCGATTGTACCACGGTCGTGGATTGCGCGCCGGAGTACGCATCCCAGGATTTCCAGGTTGGGTCGGAGGATAGTGCGCGCACGAGCGGGAGCGCGGAGCCTTCGTCCCGGATCTTGGAGACGTGGTATTGGTCCTGAGGAGAGCCGTGGGGGAAGGGCGCGGGAGGGGCTAGGGACAAGCGGATTAGGGTGCCGAGGGATATGCCGATGAGTAGGAAGATGGCGGAGTAGTAGATACCTCGGCGGCGGCGGCGGTGGAGAGAGTTAGGGGTGGAGGATGTGGGGTGCTCGGGTGGGACTGGGGTCGTAGCGGTGGCTACGGCAACGGCAACAGGGTCTTGACTCTTGGGAGGTTCGGCAAGATATCGTTGTGAAATAATGAAGGATCTGGAGTTGAGTCGGGGGAGGAATCGCGATGGTGTATCGGTACGGTCGAGTCGTATCGTGGGACGAGGGACTTGGATAAGCCTCGGATAGACGAGCCTTGCGGACGCTGCAGCCCGGAGGCAGAGCTGCGCGGTTCGGGGACTACCGACCAGCATTATGAGGTGGCCTAGCTCATATGCTTGCTTGTTCCGGTAATAATTTCTTAATGCTGAAGAAGACAATTGTACGGTGTTGTAGTTCGGATTGAGGCTCTTAGGGCGTTAGGACGTTAGGACGTTAGGGCGTCAGGGCGTAGGGGGTGAGACAGATCTTGGTTGAATGTAACCATAACCAGCTTAAGCCGAGTCGCGAGATTGATTGGTTTGGTTGGTTCGATTGATTATTACCTAATGTTACATACCTACATAGGTTGGTACAGAATTACATATTGGGAAGTGACCCCCACTAAGATCTTGCATTATTTAGCGCCATCTCGGGAGCCCAGCTATGTACATACATACCCAGCTGCCCAGCCAGCTCCCTTGTAAGCTAGGTAAGGTACCTAGGTAGGTAGGTATGTATAAGCCACGAGCCAACATCTAGTAAAGCAGGCACCTCCTATTAAATTCCACTATTGCTCCTAGTGATCGTAGGAATTCTATCATTTTACAACCATCATCCCTCGATCCTACAAACCACACTAATACACAGCATATTGAAAAAGCACACTAGCCAATCCTAAGTCTATGATGTCATCACATAGTTATATGCTGACAAACCAAATATATCAAATCAACTGCTCATAATGGCTGTAACCTACGATATAAATTCGGAAGTCCGAAATAAAAACATGGACCACCACAATTTTACCTCTGAACGCTCGCTGAAGCTATTTCCATGTACTGAGAACCCACCCTTTGCGGATTTCATAAGTAAACTTTATAATCGCCGCGACACGTTATGTTATCGACTGCATTCTTAGCTGTATATACGCGTTGATAAACTTACCGCAAGGCCTGGCATTCGCCATGGGCTACGACTATGCCCTCGTGTAAGTACCATAGGAAGCCTTCACAAACGAGCATTTTCTTTATGAAACCATTGACCTAATCCATCGAGCAGACATCTCAAATACACTATACCGCCGGCTTGTCTTCTCACTTTCATTTTGAAGCCGCTTCTTACAAGGCTTGACTTGTATAAAACATTTACATTGATACTGGTTGCTTTTTTTGCGACGCTCCCTTGGGATTCGTATCTAATACGTAATGGCATTTGGACATACCCCCCTGACGCGATAGCCGGGCCGCGTCTCTTCAAGATCCCAGTCGAAGAATTATTCTTCTTCGTTGTGCAGACTTATATCACGTCTATGCTATACATCTTGCTCAGCAAGCCTGTTCTCCACGCTCAATTCCTTACGAGTAAAGATGACTCTTCACTCAAGTCCCGACGCATACGAACGGCGGGCCAAGTTCTCCTGATAGGATGTGTCATCGCTGGCATTTCACTTGTCAAAGATGGAGGCCAGGGGACATACCTTGGCCTCATCTTAATATGGGCATGCCCCGTCGCACTTCTTACATGGTCATTTTCAGGCTATTTCTTGATTAGACTGCCTCCTGCTTGCGTTGTAGTTCCAATCGTCTTACCCACCGTGTATTTGTGGATTGTAGACGAGTTCGCCCTAGGACGCGGAACGTGGGCTATTGAGTCCGGAACAAAACTCGGCTGGTGCCTATGGGGAAGCCTAGAGTTGGAAGAAGCCGTGTTCTTCCTCTTTACCAATGCCTTAATTGTGTTCGGCCTGATCGCCTTCGATAGGGGACTGGCGGTTCTATACGCTTTTCCGGAAATATTCCCCGTTGTACCATATATGCCTCCTCCAAGTCTCCTCGCCAAAGCTGTCCTACTTGATCCTGTAAAATATGACATGGCAAGGATAAAAGGTATCAGGGAGGCCGTTCAGACACTGCGGCGAAAGAGCAGGAGCTTCTACTTGGCTAGCTCGGTTTTCCCTGGTCGTCTTCGCATTGATCTCGTTCTTCTGTAAGTAAGCACTGCACCATATCTTGTCCTCCTATATTAATTATTTCTAGATACTCTTTCTGTAGAGTAGCAGATGATCTGATGGACGAAGCCCATGGGGAGAGCGAAGCCACACTATGGATTAAAAAGTTGACTGGCTACCTTGATCACGTTTACGGTTCGGATAGCCAACTCCCATCTTCGATTGATGTTATTAATGATTTTGTGGGGGAAAACTTCCCGGGGCCGGCAAGGTCTGCGCTGATACTCTTGCCAACGAAGCTTCTCCCAAGCAAGCCATTTTATGAGCTCTTAGAAGGATTCAAGATGGACCTCTGCTTTAGCGGGACCAACACTCGTCATCGAACTAGACAGTTTCCTATTCAAGACGAAGGAGACCTCGAACTTTACGCGCACCGTGTCGCAAGTACTGTTGGGGAATTATGTTTAAGACTCGTATTCCATCACAGCACCACGAAACTTCCAAGCGACAAGGAATCTATTCTTGTATTTGCTGCTCGGACGATGGGGCATGCATTGCAATACGTCAATATTGCTCGTGATATCTCGGTAGACGGCGAAATCGGCCGGGTTTACCTGCCCTCAGATTGGCTCAAGCAGGAGGATTTGACACCTCATGATGTTATCAAAGACCCAACACAGCCAAAAGTAGAAATGTTCAGACATAAGTTACTCGATTGGGCGTTTAAGGAGTATGGACGATCACGAGATATCATGAACATGCTTCCCTACGATGTCCGCGGTCCTTTGATTGTAGCTGTTGAGAGCTACATGGAAATAGGCCGGGTTTTACGAGAAAGAACCGGCGTCCCTTCGGAAACTCATAAGGGGCGGGCAACGGTTCCTCGATCAAGACGGATATGGGTTGCATGGAAGAACTTGTCTACTGTATGAACTTTTTTTTTGTAAGATTTGGCTAAATGTTTCTATTTAATCGGTAATTAGGCATGAGGAGTAATTTATCATTTGGGTTGGATAGCACCGCGATAATATGTATATGTAGAATAATAGCGTAGATACACGCCATACCTCTTCCGAATTCCAGGTTCTGGTGTGAGGATACTACTCATGATACTGGAAGCTATAAACATATTTCACAATTTCCGCGGCAACTTTATGAGAGATTCGAAATCAAAGTATAGTCTTCTTGCTGATTCGTATGAAATATGAACATTATCTCATGTCGGTTTGAATAGCAAAGTTACTCTCCGTTCATACTAGTTTAGGTACCTAGGTACCTAAGTTAGCCGGACTCATCAAAGTTTCTGTTCCATCTCATCGACTCGCGCCGAAACTCAAAACTTCCAATCGCATGTTAGATAGGTCGTAGGTCGTACGAAAACAAGGTAACAACATATTTATCGATTACGCTAGGAAATAATGTCTCTCGCGCTTTAATGATGAATCATTATCTGCAGCCCAACGTTCTTTATACATAAGCGACTCGGTGCAATTTATTCTTAGCGCGGCCAGCATTCCCATGGACGATGCGAACCATAATAATAACGGATTGAGATCGCGGGCTGTGCTGTGCCCCTTTGCCGCGAGATTGCCGAGTGGGTCGTCTGAATGCACCATCTGTCCCGGGATGTTGGGCTGGGTTGTTATATCGAATCGCTAGTTGGAGCTTAGCTAAGAGACGACGTGTGATATTTCATTACATTTTGTCTCGGAAGAACCGTATGAGTGAATCGTTTACGTCTTATATATTATTCTAACATTTTTGGAATGGTCCTATCCGACCTAAAATTGCTACTTCAAGCTCTGGGTACTTATTATTTGGCTTATTTCTGGTTGAATATCGCGTCGAACGGGGAATATGTCTAAGATATGTAGAAAGAGAGCGATTGTTGTCGGTCAGTACACTATATACATCGTACAACTAACTACCTTACTAACGTAGTCCTAGGAGCCGGAGCCGGCGGCATCGCAACAGCAGCCCGGTTAGCGAAAGCCGGGTTTTCTGTAACTGTACTAGAGAAGAACTCATTCACCGGTGGGAGGTGCAGCCTGATATTTCACGAGGGACATCGCTTCGATCAGGGGCCGTCCCTCTTGCTGCTTCCCAAGCTCTTCCAAGAGGCGTTCCGTGACCTGGACACGTCACTCGAGGCCGAGGATGTAGAGCTACTTCGTTGCCCAACCAACTACAAGGTATGGTTCGCGGACGGCGAGAGCTTCGAATTATCAACGGATCTCGCGCGCATGAAGACCCAGATCGAGCGCTGGGAGGGCAAAGATGGATTCTATAGATACCTGGACTGGCTGCGCGAGGCGCACCAGCACTACGAGCTTAGCGTTAGCGAGGTGTTGCATAGGAACTTCACGAGTTTCTGGAACTTGATAGTCCCGCACTTTGTGCTCACAGGGCTGAAGCTGCACCCTCTGCATAGAGTCTGGGACCGCGCGCGCAAGTACTTCTGGACCGAGAGGCTGAGGCGCGTCTTCACGTTCGCGACCATGTACATGGGCATGTCGCCCTTTGATGCCCCAGCCACGTACTCGCTGCTCCAGTACACGGAGCTTGCTGAGGGTATCTGGTACCCGTGTGGGGGTTTCCATGCCGTACTAGCGGCTCTTGTGAGGGTCGGCGAGAGGTTAGGGGTTGAGTATCGACTTAACACGCCCGTCCAGCAGGTACTCGTCAGCTCCGACGGGAAAACGGCGCGAGGGGTGAAGTTGGAAACAGGCGAAATTCTAGAGGCAGATGTAGTTGTCGTCAACGCTGACCTCGTCTACGCTTACTCGAATTTATTCCCGCAGACGTCAAGTGTCCAGAGCTACGGTAAGTCTTTGAGGAAGAAAGACGGCTCGTGTAGCTCGATATCGTTCTATTGGAGCCTGGACCGGATCGTCCCGGAACTGCAAACACATAATATATTCCTCGCGGACGAGTACCAGGAATCGTTCGACGCCATCTTTGACCGGCAGTCACTACCCAAAGAACCCAGTTTCTATGTCAACGTGCCCAGTAGAATCGATGCCAGCGCAGCCCCTGAGGGTCGGGACTCGGTAGTTGTGCTCGTCCCCGTCGGTCATCTACCAGAGTCGAAAGGCTTCGCGGAACCGAAGAGTGCAGGCTTGCCACGAGATCAGGACTGGGAAGCACTAGTAGACCGGGCGCGGCGGGCCGTCTTGTCGACAGTATCCGCGCGCACGGGATGCGATTCTCTCGATAAATTCATCACGCACGAGATTATCAACGACCCAGCCGCATGGGAGGACAAATTCAACCTAGACAAGGGGTCGATCCTAGGCTTAGGCCACGGATTCTTCAACGTGCTAACGTTCCGACCGGGTACACGGGCCAAGGGGCTGGCAAATGCGTACTTCGTAGGCGCCAGCACGCACCCCGGCACTGGAGTCCCAATCGCGTTGGCCGGTGCTAAGATCACGGCCGAGCAGATCCTAGACGACTTCCGGGTGGGGGTACCGTGGCGGGGAAATGCGGCTATGGATATGGATAAGGACCGGGGTGTTGTGCAGAACGAGAAGACAAATCCGCTAGATAGGATACAGCCGGGTAGTCTACGGTTCTCGGTAGTGCAGATGGTATTGTATTTCTATGTTATGGCGTCGACAGTGTGGATATTGTGGTATTGGTATCCCATAAAGGGGATCTTAATACCATTGGGTGTATAAGCGCTTGTATTAAAGGTATTAAAGGGGTTTAATACTATGTAACTTATTGTTGGTAACTAATTTTATAAAACTTCGCCTATTGGAAAAGCTTTAGCTACCTAATATTCTATCCACCTTTTACGGCGTGTTCGGAACTGACCTTACATTACGCGCTGCTTTAAGGCCTTAAATATCTTGTCTGTCACGGCGTCTAACAAATGTAGGTACTTAATGTTGAAGACCATCCCTTATGCCATATCTTACTGGTTACCTGACGAGTGGAAGTTATCATTGGAATTGCCACTATTGGTTTCTTCGGTGTCAGCAAGACAGGTGTTGTCGGCTAGCAGCTCGTTGCCTCCTTCTAGCAGGATAGATCGCCAAATAAGATTGTTCTCGGCAATGTGGTTGATGTAGTCGTCAAAGCTAACCGTAGAACTGGGGGCCGAGACGAGTGATCGCAGACCCGCATCAAGGCCCTGGTAAACCTGCCTCATATGCCACATTTCGTCCAGCATTCCGAAAGCCCGACATAGCGCAGAAAGCCCCATCGCCCAGTTATAGACGGATACGTTCCGAAGGCAGTCTTCCTTCGTGTAACGAGAGTTGCGGATCCGATCCCACGCCTCTCCCCCTATGATAGGTGCCATGTCTCGAGTATCATCTTGTTTTACAAAGGAAGCAGAACTGGCGTCGCTATGGTAAATTAATTAGTGACGAGAAATGTCAATTGCCAATCACTATGAACTTGGATACTATCGATACGTACGAAACTTGAATGTGAGCACGTATGCCAGCGCTTAATTGATCTATGCGAGTATCGAAGTGAGCAGTCATCTGATCTAAACGAGTGCTAAAGCGCTGTATATTGTCTTGTAGCCTCTGGAGAATACGCACAATATCTCCACATATCACTGCGGCCAAGTGGGCGAGTTGCGACATTTTGATCGATATTGAATCTAGGATGTGTCACGGTAGGATTGACGAGAGAATACCTATGAAAGGGGATCTTTTCTAAAGAAGATGTTATTCCTAGAAAATACCCACCTCGCCAATCAGAGCCTATAGCCTAGCAGTTCTAAACTACGCGAAGAAGTTGCAAGTAGGAGTCTCATCTGTGCGTTAGGGAAGGGGGCGAGCTGCAACAAGGTGGTTGCGTTTCTAGATATAGCACGTATAGCAGTAGCATTGTCTCTTACGTAGTGTATAAGGAAAGCGGAGAGCGACTAGGCTGACTTGAATTGTTACTACTAAAACCTAACTTACATTGCTTGTCTCGGGATCCCGGCGGAAGGCGTAAATGCGGATGAGGAGGCCGTCCGGGCGCCGGCACAAAAGCGCGGACGGCGGTTGTGGGGAATGCCCAATTCTTCATCGTAGCACAACACCGACTACTACACGCAACTGTCGAATAGGATCTTCTCGACAATCCATCTACTTTTGGAGTCGTGCCCAATTGGTGACTTACCCCTTGCTTCTCTGACGCTCTACTTTCCATTGGCTCTACTGTACATTAAACCCCCTCGGCACCGGACAGATCGTACGAGCCCTAGGGAAAAAGTGCAAAATTACTTGGGGCATACAATATCGTCATATTGGGTATATATTGGGCTTTTCTATATAAAGTACCTCATATGGTTTATCGATATATACCTACATATTAGGCAACTTCCCATTGTATTTCCCGGCGCAATCTTCGTTAATCTTGGTCTTCGTCCAATCATTCTATATCGCAGCTCGGCTGTGCATGGCTCGACCTCATTAGTAAATTGATAAATTGATATCCGGCTGGTCCAAAACTCCTCTTACTCCCGCGCCCGGCTTCTGCTCCTCTCTCGACTGCGACTTCCGTCCCTGTGCTTGTGGTCCTTAACAACAAGCAATCCTTCACTTCTCTCTTTCTCCCGCCTCCGCTCCCTATCCTTCTCCTTCTCCTTTCGTCTATGTCTCTCCTCTCGTTCCCTCTCCTTCTCGCTTTCGCGGTCCATCTCACGCTCTCTTTCTCTAATCCTCTCTTCTTTCTCTCGATCCGATCGCTTAATCTCCTTCACAGCTTCAACTTTCTCAAAGCTCTTCACATCATCGGGCATGCGAGTGACAACGAGCTGCTGGCAGAATGACCCCCAGCCGCCGCTAGTTCCCTCCTTTACGGCATCGGCTAGCTCTTCGCCGTAGCGTTCGCGATAAGCCCTCTTAATAGCTGCCATATGGTGGCGGTCCCAATGGAAGCGAACGAGACGAGAGATCAGGAGTTCCCGACGTAGTTGATCCTTCCTGGAAGCGGTGAGGGCGTGATGGAGAAGGAGTGCGTCGCGGACAGGCTTGTTAATAACTCCATTGAGGACATGAGCTAGGAGCTCGCCCTATATTGATCTGTTTAGCAGCGTATCCTCCAAGCGGGGTAGGAAACTCAAGTACTTACCACAAGATTTCCGCTCTTTTTTAGCGCGTCCCGAGCAAAATTACCACCAACAACCTTCTCGTAGAGCCTGAGAACTTCTTTCAAGTGGTTATCGCTTCTCGAGATAACTATTTGGATCATGGCAGATTCTCCACCTCTGTCGCTGCGAACGGCCTTATACAAAGCTTCAACGTCATCCTGCACCATTTCATGATTGATGGGAAGCCGCCGTCCGTACTCATCCACATCCTCCATCCGCTTCTCTTCCAGTGCCGTGAGCACCGCACGCTTGAATTTGTCCTCCTTCAGCTCGGTTTTCATACACAGCGTCAGTGAATCTCTGTATTTCTTGTCCGAGAAAGCTTCCTTAATCTTTGCGATCTCGTAGTTAGAGCGCCCCATCAGACTCTCAATTAACAACTCGCGTCGTGTCTTATCACCATGGTACCAGAAGTTGGCCCAGTACGCCTCCGACTCCCATTTCCCGAGAGCGACAGTGTAGCATGCCTTCATGAGGACGGGTTCTTCATCCTTTAGGCGAACGCGGATATGCTTAGCAACGTTAACACCCTTGCGTTCGGGACCGGTCTTGACGAGCCGCTTGTACTCGACACGCAGCTCCATAATCTGCTCATGCGTCATTCCAGGTAAAATTTCAATCAGCGGCTCTGTATCAGGAGGCAGGTGATCACCCCTGAGAGCTTTAGCTAGGCGTGCTGCGTCGTCAACAGGGTCGTGGAAACGGGCGCGACGCCGCTTCTTCTCGTTGCCTTCATCAGAAAGACCTGGCGAGAGAGGTTCAATTAGGTCCGAGTTCCTTCTGGGGTCATCCGAAGCAAGGAGCAGCGGTGATGGCATCGGGGACATAGACTGGTAAGTGCCATAGTAAGACTCCAATAGTGGCGATGGCGGCGCGCTTGATAGAGAGAGTGAGGCAGCATGGTGCCCCGTGTTAACAGTTAACGTAGACATCCGCCCAGTAGGTGGCTTGGACGAGTGATCTCTACGATTACCCAAAGCGGCTTCGGCAGTAACAATTGCCGCACTCCAAGGCATAGTATCGGGCCCATAAGAATCATGCTGGCGTTGTTTATCCGGCCTGTCTGAACCCGGTGGCGTATATACCGTGTCCACCTGGGGATATCTGAACTTGTCTCCCGACCTGTCCTCCTCCCACCGACCGGGCCCAGAATAGCCGGCACCGCCAGAAGGCGATGGAGAATGGCCGCCAGAGTATTTGGTAGTTGTCGGGGGAGACACGACACTACCATAGGCCAAGTCATCTTCTAATTTTTCTTTCTTGAGTTCCTTTCTCCGCTCTTTTTCGCTCTCTGACTCGCGCAACCTGTTCGAGTATTTCGCCGGAAGTAAGGTATCGGCACCTCGTCGCAATGCATCCTGAGCGACTTCTACTATATCCTTGTCGCCCTTGGACACGCGCTCTTCGCTTCGCCTTAAATAGCGCCGGTCATCTTCCGAGGTGATAGAGTCACGGCTAGCGCGGTAATAACTGGACTCGTCTGTAGGTGAAGCCGGGCGGTACGAGCGGCGAGGTGCCGTGTCATCGTAGCTGTACCCAGCAGGTGGAGAGGGCATGCGCACTGCGTCAAGCAGAGACGGGGAACTTTCACGGCCGCGACGGCGGTCATAACCTTCATTAGCGCGTGCTGGAGAGGGCGTACGGCCGCGCCGTGCGCTGTCGCCGACGTTCAGAGACATGTCGGGCAGACGCAGATGGCAGATGGCAGATGGCAGACAGACGCGCGTGCGACTTGAACAGGCGGAATCCCCCGAAGCGCTCCCGTTATTAGGTACCTAAGTAGGAGGTAGTTATGGGGTTGCGGGGTATCTGTCACCGAATAGTGGCCTAAAGTTGAGGTCGGTCTTGGCCCAAGCTGAATTTATTATGTTTTAGTGAAACTTAAGATTCAAATTGTCTGACTTTAGGTTGGGGTTGATAGAAGTCTATTGTGGTCTCGTATTGTGAAAGACAAAAAGACCGGGAAATAAGGAGAGAAGGTTTAGGAATGTAAAGCTGAGACAAAGCTATTGTTTAATATCCCTAACTAACTACCTAGGTAGGCACCTAACCTAGTAAGAAAAGGAAGGAATGTACCTGCCTCGAAAAAGAAGTTGTTAGTACTCCGCCCGTACATATGCAGCTTAGCATTAGCTACATGATACCTTGTAGTACGAAGAAAACGTTCATCCCGTGAGATGCTTCCAAGTTCAAAAACACGGGCATAGGTGCAGCCCCAAACCAGCCTAGGTAGACCCAACAACCTAACAACCTTCAACCCTCCAATGGTTAGCTGCTGTCGCTAAGCTGCGAAGTCCAGGAAGACCCATCCTATACATATTACCATGTTGGGGGCCAAGCTGCGGCGTACCTCGTTAGGTACCTAGTAGTAGAAAATTAAGATCCAATAAGCAGTCGTGAAGTTGTCAACAGCCCGCAATAAAATGGTCTCGTGTGTTATTCTTGACCGGAATCATTCTACGTATGGCTATGTATTATGCGCTTCATCCTCGATCGTAGCATCACTACATACAGCTTCGCGTATATGTACGTGCTTAGGTAGGTATGTATGTCTATAGGTATATATACCTAACATAGGCTAATGTGGGCATATGTAGGTACCTAAGTTATATCACAGCATTACATACAGTATAACAGGTACCTACCTACATACAGCAAAGCAATGCTAAAGTGTGAGTAGGATCAAGGATGTCGAAGTGGCGGTCTCAGCCCTTCGGTTGACTTATTCAATAAGCACCGTGGGCTATCGAATTGTAACCTATCGCGTGGCGATCTAAATCATATACGCATTATATACATAGTATAGCTGACCTCAGCTTCTGTAATGTTGCAAAGTGTTCGCGGCGATCGCGTGTCAACTTTGCAGCCTGAGGTTGTGGACGAGTAACACAGAAGCAGAGAAGAAATGTTCACCTTGAACCACTTATCGTTAGAAAGGTAGTAATTGTACGGTATATGTCGTGGATCGATGCATACTTCAGCTGCATTAATGCATTCGGGGAGACGTCAACTCCCCAATCGAAAATCTTCCTATGCAACGCTACTGGTTTGGTGCCTGCGCCTCTCACTGGTGGCGTTTCTACACTACCTAGATCATGATATCCGGCATTCTTATACATAATAGTATCGCTGGGAATGCCAATTGGGCAGCCTCACGCTTGCGTGCAGGTATCCGCACGAACCGCTCCGACGATGAAGATGGCGAAGTATCCATCTGTCATGTAGAACAAGTTCCATAGGAATTATGCATGCGTACAAATCGGTATTTAAAATCAAGATGAGTTGCATGAATCGCATGTCGATGGGCCATGGTGGTCAATTTCTTACCTATTCTGTACCTTTACACATGCTATTCAACGGATCCATGGGACAATTCTGACTACGTGTATTACCATCTGGTCTAAACCCAGGCCTTTCAAGCCACCAGGACCAATTTGGAGATTCACTGACGACGTGCAGACTTAGTAAGAACAGCATCGTATGTGGAGGCACAATGAGACATGGTGTTACGGGTGGTCAATGGTTCTAGACTCTTGTCATTTCATGGTGCGACGAAGCTCATTGCGTGGATTTCTCTTCTCAATTGATGAATCTACTTCATCTATACCGAATTCTGGCTATTCTCGTAGGTACTCGTACAGTGTCCATATTCTTTGAGACGGCTTGAATGACCATGGCCATGACCATCTGGGTGTTGTCTGCTGCATGGCCGAGTCTTTCGAACACTCCTCGGTACCCGAACTTTGCCAGCTCGTATTATTCACGCCCGACGTGACTCAATTCGATAGTGCATCGTCGCAGTGTCATCGTAATCAGTTTCCTTGATGAAACAAGTCTCAATACCCTAGAGCATGCCAGCTCAGATTCCTGAACGCCAAGACCAGGTTATGGTATCATAAAATAAAATAAAAGTAACCCCCCCTGACCCCCGTATCTTTTGACTTTTATTATCGGTAGTGTTATGACTTGACTCCGTCGTCGGAGTAGACTGACCTATATGCACCTGGCACGTGAATCTGTCTCGAAGATTGGTCAGGGGATGCCATTTCTTTATCGTCAAGACGGATCTCCCTCTTCCCGAATGTCCGGAGAACGCAAACCCTATACCAAAGTTAGTTACGGAGGTAAACAAACGTCTAGATATGGGTGAGCTATACCTGTGTCGAAGCGCTCTCGAAAAGAGAGCCATGAGGATCATGACAGTGGCGGCGACGGGAAGTACAAGCACCATTGTGTCTGCGGCCTTACGCACGCAACGGAAACGCAAGACTTTGTCTTGAGACACGTAGGGAAGATACGTCCACGACTCACGCTCTGCTTTAGTTTCAAGCTCCACAATGGTTTCCTGCGGCTCGGCTTCCACCATGTTTCCGCGAGTCTCCTCTCTTATGATGCTTGACTCGGGGAATGGCGATTGCTTCTTCGGACGGGTTAATGATGTAAGAAATGCGAGAACGTGAGGAGTTTCCCAGGATTTAGCCCCGGCAAGGTTTTCTGGTAATTGGACGCGTTGGCCATCTTCTGCGACGACGACGTTGTTGTGCTTCTCAATTGATATTCGTGAGGGCGTAATAGTAGAAAGGAAGAGGGCCGTTCTTGATATAAAATCGGTCTGTCTTGCTGTCTGCTGCGTGTGGGTTGATGCGACGACATTCGGGGTCTTCTCAGGCGTAGCTACCGGTGCTGCGAGAGCCCAGGTTGCGAAGGCGCAGGCAAATAATGCAGGCGTAGATCCTTTCATGGTGGGTTGCTGTTTTTCCTATCTTAAGATGAATTGAATATGTTTAAGCTTTCGATCTACACGTAAAGGTCAGCAAGTGTATAAATAGTGAGAAATGCGAAAGAATAAATATTCTAGAAGAAAAAAACCTAAAACATGAACGAAACAGAATTCAAGGATAATATACCTTCTTCGTCTAAGCAACTACTGCGACAACGTCGTCGATGTGGTAGCAGTGATGAAATCGTCGCAATTCTGTAGGGGTAGGGTGATACGTCGGCGGGTAAGTGGATAGCTAAAGCTACAGGTAGGTTTGGGTTTTTTCTTGGCGGCCAGGTTGTTGAACGGCAGAGGGCTTCAAATATGTAAGGAACACCGAGCTAGAGTGAGGAGATTTGTAGCACGTCGTTTTATCTGGTAGTGGGGTGACTTGAAGTGATGGGAGGATATACGAATTGGCCATGCGCTTTCGATCCAAGATTTATTAAACGCTTAACAGGTTTGGTGGTCACACGCCGGCAACTCGGACGTAAATTCAATAGAAAGGAAAAATGGAGGTTTGGCTTCTTTTGTAAGTGACACAACACCGGATGGGGAGGACCAGCTACCAGTTACCAGTTAGTGGCATTAAAGAGAGATCCATGCCTGTTAGAGGTTGTAGGAGTTGGGGTTTAGTGACTAACACGGTAGATCAATTTATTAATATGCGGTTAAAGCTGCTCGTCCGACTTTTCCCCCTTGTGTACATGTAGGTCCGCCGATGGTTTCTTACTTCGGTACAGGGTTCTGCGCACATGGGCAAGTTTGTTAGCATGTCGCACCAAGTCGCCTTTGGTATTAGTTTTCCATGATTGTAACTGTAACTGTAACTGCAAAACATGTAACAGGTGAGTTTCTATAATTAATAGATCTTTGCATCTGAATTCTTTTGTTTCTTGAGATCAACAATCATTGATCAACGCTAGGATGATAAATCGATAATTGGTTATGACGGCAGAGGAAGACTGCGCCTCGCTAAACCTTTCCCAACCACACGTAAACACACAGACACATCCCGCGTCATATCCCGTAGCTACCGATATATTCACCGGTCTTACTAGCAAGTCACGATCGGATTCGAAAAATCAGGAAGATCAGGAAGATGAGATCAACGCATCCAACATAAAAGTTCACCTACATACTAACATCCCATCCAGCTACGGAGGCACAGCAGCTGCATAGCCTATTTCCCAAGAGGTCCACCCGACCACGCCTTATGTGCTTTAAGCTTATGCTCCCCCTGAACCAATGGCCTTTGAGCGGCGACCGAATCTGGTAAAAGTCAGGTGAGGACCTTACATAAGGGTCGATTTAAGTACCTAATCTATGTACCTACTGGGTGGAGCCTGGATTGCATTTATAGCCACGTCTAGACCCTCGGCATTGTGAAAAAGGTATCGGCTTTCTTACTATGGTACATACAGGTCACCAGGATGTCCAATACTATTTAGTAGAAATGTTACTTGAAGTAGTTAATAAGTAGTATACTGCTTTATTTATATGGCAAAATACAAACCTATTCGAATATTCTAGCTTAATCTTTGCTTAAATAGGTAATTTTAAGTGGCAAAAGTTACCTAAACATTACGAGATATATTTACAATTATATTTTGCTATAATATTTTGAGTGTTTTAATACTTTTCTCCTTTAAGTAACATCTCCACTAAATAGTGTTGGACATCCTGGTGACCTGTAGCTAACTAAATGAATGAGGCTTCAATCTGATAATACTCTCCTACTTAGGACGACAGGTAGGACAGCAGTTATATTTTGTTTGATGCCACACATGCACCTAGCATGTGGTCATTTGTGTATCCTCCATCTTATTATATTCCACCACGTGTGATAAGCTATAGAAACCAACAAACGCCAACAAAATACCTCAAGTAATAAATTTCTTAGATGTCTTAACGTAGGCTCAAAACGCGTTGTAAAATATCGCAACTCGGGTTGACAGTCCTAGTATCCTTATCTAACATCGAGCTCCGACAGATCTAAAAAGATGATCTCCTAAACACGACATGTTAGATCACTACATAGGTTAAGATTAAGTTAAGTGCAGTACATACAATGCTCTGCGGAGCTACCCGCTTTTTACTAGTACGGGGCATGTTTTGGTATCATACGATATATATATCAGGTTCGAGGGCTAGATGTCTCGTATCGTGTAATTAGAGTTTATAGTAGCTTAAGTAGCTTAAGCACGATAGCCGCGTCCGTTCCCTCATCCTTTAAGACAGCCGAGAGCTAAGGACTAGATCGGAAGGTGTAGGGTGAACTAGAAGGGTAGCTTAGATCTAGCTAGCTGCTAAAATCTACAGGACCTAGCCTTACGCTAGATTTTCTATTATAGGCATGATAACATCGATTATTAATAATAGCTTCCTCTTATTTTATTGCTCTCTTTTTTATTTCACTCAGCCATATATGCTATAGTTATATAGCAATTTTCACGGGTGGACTGTTGTGACTTTAAATTCTTACCAGTATGCATCACGTGGATAAGCAACTTATAAAGACAAAGGTTATATGAGCGTCAGCTTAAAATCCTTGAAAATGTCTATTCCGTGGTTTCTGAAGTGATTGTGTATTTGTTACTAGATTTGCTGATACCGTATCAATCCAGTGGTAGGACATCCATAAAAGTTGAGGCTCCTCTAGCTTGCTAATCCCCGGATTGCTCAATAAAATAGTTGAGCATGTTGTTTTATTAAGACCCGACTGCCTAGGTTGATAACAAACGAAGAATCGTGAAAGTAATTGGGATTATATTGACCCTACCTAGGTAATAGGCGGGGGGTTGCTGACTGATATCATAGTTGTTTAGGGTTCTGGGGTTCTGGGGTTTTGGGGTCTCTTCCCCGCCATTGGCCGTATGTAGCCGGGTTCATGCTTCAAGTTAACCGTACCTACCTACCTAACCTCCTATGTAGGTAACCTAGGGACTGTAGGTACCGAGGGAATAAGGTCGGCCTCCAAATTCACCGGTCCCGCGTTTCGTCTTCTTAATGAAAGCTCGCCCTAGCCTCCAAAATTCCCCTTGGAGACGTTGGCCCGCCATTTGTTAAGTCCACGGCCAATGCAAGATGTCTTCAGTTAACCGTAGTCTTCTATCAGCCTCCCGCTCGCTACGCTTACAATCAAGAACCGTCTTGCAAAGAACATCCCCATTAAGCGTATCCTCGCGCGCAGCAATAACAAAACTTGGAGCTACGATACGACTAACCAACCCCGCCTACACTCTCTCCCCTGCTCCATCCTCTCCATTCTCAACAACTACCGCGCAACGATCCGCTCCCGCCATGCCTCAAGAAGGAAGAGAGTACGATCCCGAGACTAAGGATATCGCCAACTACGTGACAAAGCCAATTGACTCGGAATTAGCTGTAGGCATTCCCTATCTCATGTCGACCCGTATCGTACCCGTATCGTGAAAATTGGCGGGGTACGCAATTAGCTGACATGTAATCTGCAAATAGTTTGATACCGCGCGATGGGTTTTCCTTGATACTCTAGGCTGCGGACTTGAGGGTCTGCGATTTAAGGAATGCGCTAAGCTGCTTGGCCCGATTGTCCCAGGAACTGTCGTCCCCAACGGTACTAGGGTTCCTGGTACTGACTTCATCCTCGACCCCGTTAATGGTGCCTTCAACATCGGTGCTACGATCCGATGGCTTGATTACAATGACTGCTGGCTGGCTGCCGAATGGGGCCACCCTTCCGACAACCTAGGCGCTATCCTGGCCGTTGCCGACTGGGTTAACCGCACCAATAAAGCCGGCGGCAACCTAGCTGGAGGCAAGATCTTCACCGTTAAGGATGTCCTCGAGGGCATGATCAAGGCACATGAGATCCAAGGCTGTCTGGCACTACTTAACTCGTATAACAAGGTCGGTCTTGACCATGTTGTGCTCGTTAAAGTTGCCAGTACCGCGGTTGTGTCCCACATGCTCGGATTGAGCGAGAAGCAGATCGCCGACGCCGTCACCCAGGCTTGGGTTGACGGACAGAGCCTGCGAACCTACCGACACTCTCCGAACACCATGTCCCGGAAATCATGGGCTGCCGGTGACGCTTGTCAAAGAGCCGTCAACCTTGCATTGAAGGTCGCGAAGGGCGAGCCCGGTATTCCTACTGTCTTATCTGCGCCAGTGTGGGGTTTCTACGACGTCCTATTCAAGGGCAACAAGTTCGAGTTCCAGCGTCCTTATGGCAGTTACGTGATGGAGAACGTTCTCTTCAAGGTCTCGTATCCAGGTTCGTACATTGATAAACCTTCAAAGCCCGTCATCTTGCTAATTTGCCTTCTCTTAGCCGAGTTCCATTCGCAGACAGCCGTAGAGGCTTCCCAGAAGATCCATAACAAGCTGAAGGAGCTGGGTAAGTCTGCAGCTGATATCAAGGGCATTACCTGTAGGACACATGAAGCGTGCATCCGGATCATCGACAAGCAGTTCAAGCCGATGGACAACTTTGCAGACCGCGACCACTGTATCCAATACATGTGCTCAGTCATGCTCGTATTCGGTCGCTTAGAGGCAACCGACTACACCGACGGTGGCGAGGCGGCGACGTCCCCGTTAGTCGAGTCGCTCCGCCAGAAGATCAAGTGTGTCGAGGACCCGCAGTTTACCAAGGACTACCACGACCCAGAGCTACGTACTATCTCTAACGCGCTAACGGTCGAGCTGAACGACGGTACGATCCTGGATGAAGTTGTTGTCGAGGCTCCTCTAGGACACCGCCTAAGGAGAGAAGAGGCCAAGCCGCACATCCTAGCCAAATACAAGCGACACCTAGGGCCACACTTCTCCGAGTCGCAAGTTAAGGAGCTCATCGATCTAGGAATGGATGGCAAGAAACTAGAGGCTACGGCTGTAGACGAATATGTTGACAAATATGTTGTGAAGAACAGCCCTTTTGTTTAGACTTGCAAGATATTTAGAAAGGCGTTAAAAGCCAAGATATATACCATATACTATATACCATATGCCACACAAATACTTGGCGCTGGGCTTTATTTTTGTTAGTTCAAGATGTGACTATGTGATGGGTGCTTTTTATTGTTTCTTTACATTGTACATGTACATAGAAGAAAGAGAAAGGTCCGTGCACAAAATCCTGCTAAGAATCGGCTAAGAATCTGCTTATCTGGGGTCGCAAACGCTTATCCATCCTTCCCACACAACTTATGTGGTCATTGGTCATACATCATCATCCTTCGCAGCATGTATAATACTATCACGAGGCTGTAGAACAGCCCGCTCCGTAGCCTCGGAATCTGACATTACCTCATCAATTGGCCGCGGACATAGTTAGAGATGTCTCATCCTTCCGATCCAGACTCGTCTACCACAACAGAGGTACCAAGGCGCGAACGAGATGGACCTCAACCTGGGTTAACACGCGCCGCCACTTTACCTATCGAGTTCCATTCGCAACGGACTGATCGCTCCCACCTAGCGCCCGAGGACGCTTTCAATGCAGTACGACCCTCGCGACGACAATCGGGCTTCGAGTCCAACGGTGTCGACGGTGTCGACGAGAGCCGCCCCGAGTCGCGGTCACGGAAGATGAGTTCCAAGCTCGGGAGTAGGAGCAGAAGTAGGCGGCGGAGACGCACTTGGAAGAAATTATTATGGGTCAAGCAGTCTTGTATGGAATTGCCCTTCGGTTGACGACACCCCATTGCGGCGCCGCTGTTAACAGCTATCTCCAGACCCAGATAACTACACGGACCAGGCCACGTTCCTGGAAAACCTGCAGCGGAACCCACGTCTCCAGCCCTATGAATTCTGGCCCCTCGTCGCCGACTCAACCGTCATCTTGCAGCAAGTATGCTCCGTCATCATATTCGTCGTCTGCTTCGTCGGGATATTTCAAGAGCGCGTGTCTCCTGTCGCCGTCGTAGGTTGGGGAAGTTTTGCGACATTCGTAGGATGGTTATTATGGGACTTCTGGGTAGGCCAGGAAGACGAGGACGAAGTACTGCAACGGCGCCGCAGCAATCGCAGCCGCTCGATACGGGAGCCTAGTAGGAGAGGTCGTTCCATTGCCGCGGGGGGGATTAGCCAGTCCGCCGCGAGCTCGGTGACGAATTTAGCCGTCACAGAGCGATACTCCCAAGGGAACCCAATCGCTATGCGGCCATCTCATTCTACTTCTGCCATTTCCCTCCAGTCCAGCGTGTCGCAAGCAAGTAATGTAGGCCGGAGATCTTCCGAGTCTATTGATATGCTAAGCTATCGTCCCTCATCTCCTCTTCGGAACGGGAGAGCAAATCTTCGCCTCAGTACCGTTAAATCCGCTATTCTTATTTACTTTACCCTTCTAGGTCTATCGCCTATTTTGAAGTCCCTTACTCGGTCTACGTCATCTGACAGTATCTGGGCCATGTCTTTCTGGCTCTTGGCGATCAACATATTCTTCTATGATTACTCGTCAGGCCCGGTGAAGTTCCCGGCTTCCCTATCGACTAACGCAGCACTGATGGCGTCTACGGTGCTAGCATCTCGCCTACCTTCTACCGGGCAGGTTTTCAGCCTTACGTTGTTCAGTATCGAGGTATTTGGTTTGTTTCCCGTCTTTAGACGCTACGCCAGACATCGGAGCTGGAAGTATCACGTTACACTCTCCATACTGCTTGTGATTGGAGCGGGAGGTGGAGTCGGCCTAATAGTAGGTGAAGAAAAGGATGTCATGTGGCCGTGGAGAAGTGGGCTCCTGGGTGTCGTGGTAGCAGCTATCATTGCTGTCGTTGCCATGGGCGGGTGCAGTTGGTGGCTCATTGGGCTTCAGAAGTATAAAAATGCGATCAATGGTCCTTGGGATCAAGCAAGGCCGATCATTATTAGTCGGCGGCTTTGGGATGACGAATAGGATAAAAATGAATGATTTTATGATTGAATCACTAAACGCTCACTTTCGCAAGACTTTAAGCTACGTGAATGTGTAATAGGTAGACTAACAAGTAGGTATTTTTACTACCGTTGAGTATTTAATTCACACAGCAAAAAGATATGCTTCTAATTAGCTGACGGTAGGTATAGTCTTCCCCTTTACAAGGTGTGGTTACTGTATGGTTACTATGTATAAGTCTGAGCCTATGGGCTAGGTATCACGGCTCTGCCCCCTTAGGGTGGCTCCGAAGGGTTGGGTTAGGTGGAATGATACTCCGCATGGGACATCGGGATCGTAATAGGACAATCCGGGCTGCCGGGGTAAGACGAATGCGCCAACCCTATCAGATCTGTATATGATGAGGTGGGGGGTACTTGTTCGTGGTGCTACACACTTATTCACGCAGCATTTGCATACATAGGAGGTAGGTATAAATGCATTTATGTAACTTGAATGATATTTTTATGTGTTGTGTGTTGTGTGTTATGTTAGTTCTCGAAAGATTTATCAAAGAATAAGAAACATTAATGAAGCCATTAGCAGCTTCTTCCCCCGGTCCATTCAGACATAATAATGTAATCCTCTCCTATCATAGTTTAGTTCGTGACAATTTTGTTCCCGAAGATCTGATATCTTTACTTCCCGCTGCCGCTTGCCTCCTTCCATGTACGATCCCAGTTCTTCAGCTGTTCACCCATCCGCCTCTCCGATGACATGCCCATTGCGACTTGTTCGTGAGACTGCCTGTCAGTCATGAACCGGAGGAGAGTGGATGGTTCGGATTGGTTTGATTTGTCGCTGATTGGCTGCACGGCTTTCAGGGTGCTGGAAGAACTACCGAGTGTGCGGGTGCTAGTGCTGCGGATGCTCATGAGCCACTATGTTGTAAGGCTTATATCTCAATATAGCACTTACCTGTTCTTGTCCATGATTGCCGATCGTTCGGGGTCCAAACCCACTATCAGTTTTATTTATGGTAAACCCGTTTTTAAGCTTTATTAAAGACTTAGAAATTAATACTTAGATTAATATCTTTGATGTTGAGATCTGTTGATGTGGTCTGCTAGAGGAATCTCTCTCTGGAAAAGGTGGGAATTGCTTCCCTTTTTATATCGACGTTCATACGGGTCGGGTTTAGAAGAGACGACAGTCCATGGACTGGTAAAAAAACAAACACACATAACAACCCTTAACCGGGGAGTCATTAAAATCCCAAGAATCATAGATACCTACATGACCAGGCCTTGTGTCCCTTCCTGGCGTTCCCTCAAGGGCTCTGCCTTGCCACCTAATGCGACATCTACACCCTGCTAATAGCCTGTACATAAGGCATAAGGAAGGGTACTGACGCATCCGTGAAGCAGTTGTCCTTAAGAGCCTCAAGTACTTGACGTGTTTGTGTTAGTTTAGCTAGGTTAGCGGAATTCAGGTCTTGGTGTAACTGGTTTGCCTGAATCACCCCTGAAAATGTAGAAGTGAAGCCTGCTGCACTTATACATCGGACGGGAAATTAAATAAACAATCACATAGTATTTTGGTAGAATTAACAGAAAATGAATCCCAGGATCACGGGAAACTACATTAATACGGAATATATCTAGTAACTGAAGCATCTAGTATGATTACGAGTTTCAGGAGAAACTCCTTGTTGGCGTATTTCCGGTATTGGCAGGTGAAAACCTGACGAATTAATAGCTACGACGTCTCTTATTCTCTTAGGATTTCGATTAATTGTTCGAAAGTGTGGTTTCAAGGAACACCGTGGCGATCATATATCACGCATCTGGGGAGGACACCTTCATAACAGATCGCGAACGGCCATATGACCAGTAGACGAAGGGGGAATTGTTACTTGCAAAACGGTTCTCGTGGTGTAAACTGAGTATTCATCATTCATATTGCCCATGTAAATCAGGCTTGTAACTGTTAAGTACAGGAGGTAGAAAACGTTCCATCGTTAAAAATATTCTTGGCCCGATCCGTCATATAGGATTCTCTTACTCCTATGGTCTTCTGGCTCGAGACTATCAGAGTCCTTGCGCCTTTTCCTAGAATCATCTTGGGACCTGTGATGCTTACTGATATGGACTCCTCGATTGTCTCGTCGACTGTAGACTTTTTCGCAGTACTCGCACTTATAACTAGGGCTCCCGTGGGTAGACATGTGCTTATTGAGATAAGCTTTCGCATTTTCTTTTTTGCCCTTAGGCTTGTACTCGCAATAGGGACATTGCTGACTTTCATTTGACGAGTCTGATAAATCTGAGCCTGTCGATTGCTCGGTGCTTGAAGGCGGAATTGCCGAGTCTGGGGAGGAAAGACTGTTGAGAAACATAATATCTCGGAGGGCATCTCGTTTCCCTACACAAGTGTATTCATCAAGATTCGAAAGCGATAGCATGTCTATCGAGGACATAGACGATGGCACGTTCTCGAGGGCTGATACATTTACGATGTTTATAGCTTCTGCATTGCTAGCATTGTGACAAGCTACATCCCCCCAGTGTGGAGTATTCAGAGTAGGCTCTAAATGATTCGTCTGAATAGTTAAGGAATAACCTCGTGACTCGCGAAATCCTCTTTGATCGTGAGGTACGGGAGGCATGGATAGATGGCTGGATGGAATGTTGTATAGTGGTATTAAAGAGGAAGGTTGCCAGGTGTTGTAGGCCTGGTCCATATGATTACTGGTGTTTGATATTGCTCCTGTGTTGAGAGCTCTCTCAAGAAATTCAATGCTCTGACTATCTGCTGGTGGGTATTGACGTTCGGAGTCGTTGCTGGAGGCTGACATTGAAGACTCAATAGAGGTTGTTGGCGACACATATGTAAGATGTGTCTTGGCTGGGCTAACGGAAGGTAGCTCTATTGGTGGACTGGGGGCAAGAGAACAATCAGAGACCTCGCCGTGATCAGAACGATCTAAGGCCGCACCCCTATGGTCCAAAGGTAAAGACGCCGCTTGTAGTTCAAGTAGCGATGTATCCATGAGTTCTCCTCTTTGCTGTGTATCATGCATTTCCTGCGGAATCTTGATTGCAGCAGGGTCGAAAATGTGACTAGTCGAAAACTGACTGTCGCGTACATCAGGCCATTGGGACGGATCTTCTTTATGCGCTACTGTCTGACCACATTCTTTACAATGTCCAAAGGCAAGTCTCGAGATTGAACGAGGACTGACAATACCCTTGACTGTATCTACCGTAGCCTTGAACGTATTTTGGAGCCTTTGTCTCATCTTTGGCCGATCCCATGAGCACTTCTTGTTGGAGGTCGTTTGGAATTTTTCGGCGTCGTTACACTTGAGTGATAATAGTTAGTACTTTATTCTTTCCAAGGCCAGGAGTGTTTGGCTATATATCACGAGTATCGGCCCCTTCAATTAACTTGAACGAGAAACCCAAAGGCAGGGAATGTACTAAAAGGGGGGCAACATGAACCCACAATGTAACATACTGTTGGGCATCGATAAATCCCTTGCGAGAAATATTTACAATCCTTCAGGTGTAGTAACATATATCTGGCATCGGTGAAATTGTTTTGCGGGCAATTTTCCATGAGACAGCGGCAGTTTTTAAACGACGTGGGATCGTTTTCGAGGAGATAGAACTCGACCGCCCTGCTATAGAAGCGACTCTTATAGCATTTGTCGATCACGCCCTTTTGCAATCTTTGAGAATTGGTTAGCTCAATACCTCTATAAGACTAGATAATACCGACAAGCAAGGTTTGTTTATGTTTCCAGGACTAGACGGTTCCTCCAAGAGAGTAGGTGACCGCTCATCGCTATATGCTTCATAGTGCTTATAGGCATCCCGTGCCGGCATGGTATTAACAAGACCACCGCCCATCAATACGGGCATTTCATGGATCTCTTTAGAGGGAGTATGATGGAATGAATTCATGTTGACAGGTCATTCCAGTGATCGTTGTTTTTGTCCGTGTCGAAAGGAACAGCATGCTCTATTACATCCAAAAAGGACCTTCGACTAATATAACCATGGCCCTGTCACCACGTATTTCATACAAGTATGCGAGTATGCGAGCGAGCGGCTCCATTTTGACCAGTTAACCACCCCTCCTTTCTCTTGAAGGGACATAGGCGGATATGAAAGGGGCTTGGTAGTCGGGACGTCGACACAGGTGTACGCGAACCAGCGGGGTTTGGCGCATCAACGAACGTACATTCGTATTCCCTTCTTCTTTTTCCTTATACACACTGGTCACCCTGTTACTGAGGGTCGAAAGCTCGGAAAGGGGCTTCAGGGAACCGTTGCCGCATCATCGCTTACGCCACGTCTTCCTCGTCCCTTTAGTGACACTCGACCTAGATGTTAAGTGGAATGTCAACATGCATTAATCGCAGGAGCGATTGTGATGAACGATCAAAGTGGATTAAAGGCAACCACTTCTCCTGAAGGGGTGTGGATGAGGGACTGACACTAGTTGCCTACCTTCATTGCGACCCATTTCTAGCGACGGTACTCCCGGTGAGCAATAACAAGGCTGGATTCATAGCGACCATGAAATTCCCTTCAACATATTCAATGCATAGGGTGGATAATAGACAGGAGCCAATTAGATAATTTCGGTCAGAAGCTTGGGATGGAATTGAAAGGCGTCCATGCAAACCATTTGCCTTGTCGGGAACGTGTTTACCCCGTGAAGATGATAACTAGGAGCCTAGCTGTGGACGTCAGCAAGGATTCCATTCTCCAGGACAGGAAAAGAGATGGAAACCAAAATTTAGAAAGTTATATCTTACAAAGACCACGATGAGCGAGCCTTAAAAGTTGAAATTAACAACATCAAGTGTGGGCATATGGATTAAGATATATACTACTAGAACCCTATTTCCTACACGATCAAGATGGGGTAGGACTTTGGGGGCTTTGGGGCTATGGTTCTCAAACCTGCTATATATAGGTAGGTAGGCAAGCTATCAGCGTTTGGCCTACATTTAACCTTTCAGGTAGCGATTGTATGGTACGAATGGAAGAACGTAGGTGGTATTTGGGCTCGTGCAGTGGTAGAATAGTAGTGGGGGCAGTAGTTATACCAATGCTGCGCCCTCAATAATTTTGAGCCTTGCCATCTTGATCCGATACTATCGGCTCGATATGCTAACAAACTGCCCAGAGAGACTCCATGAATAGGAATGATATGTAGGCTAATAACTAGCGCTTCTAATCCTAGTCCCCATTATCTTAGGAGCATCTAACTAGTGTCTTTAGAGGTCCTGTTTATGCATTGGAATACCTTCAATACTACCTAGATGAGGGGTGATACCAACTAGGTATCTGTAAATCTAAACGTAGGCGGCGCTCAAAAGGGGGTTCAGATCGCGGCTCAGCTCGTTGCCCCCCTCTTTCGTCACACCAATCACAACAGATCGGATTTCTTGGCTACGCATAATTTTCGTGATATCTACTTCCTATAGGTCCGTCTCTCCTGCAACTAGGTAACATTGATCACGCCTAACATGTATCAATGTACCTTGTGTAAGGCTCTCAAGCATAGACACCGTAAACACGCATAAAAACTGTAAGCGACATGTATCTCCCTAAGCCCATTGGGAAGAGTCTGCATAGCCATTTTGTTATTCAACTATACGACTACTGCTTAATAACCACCTTCGGATCTTACTGTTTCTATGCCCCTAACTACTACAGTAGAAGTTACACGAATTAAGTTTGAAGAGATAATGAATCCTTATAGGAAAGATGATGCCTATTCTAGGCTTAACCTACTCAAATTGTAAAGCAAGCTTCCTACTAGTTATACTGCTAGCAGCAATCACACATAAAAGTATAAGTTCTCGTCCATTCTGCCTACCCATAGGCCGGGCCTAAGCTCATGTTATTGAAAAAACGTTCCTCCAAATATCTATTCGGCCAGTCCGTCAAAAATTTAGACCACTTAGATATCTGAGAAAGGGAGTTTCTAGCTACATTAAAGGTTCAGCCCTAGCTACCCCCTTAAGGCTGTAGCTCTTCGTGTCTTAATAGAGTCGTGCTCTTACTTATTGATGGTATCCTCACAGGTTAATAGCGTCTTAAGATGAGCCTAGTTATAAAAGGCTATTTAAAAGCTTATATTTATATAAAATATATTACCTCTATAGGAAAAATACTGAGTATATTTACAGTAGATCAAGGGGCCCTTCTAGCCCTACTTTCTATCGTCGAGCGTAAGCGTGCCACGGTACATACTCCATTTACATCAATAAATCAAAACGGTAAAGGGGCTCAAAAATACTATTTCGGGAATGATGCAAAAGATCCAGTCAATGGGATTTAGAAGAGCAATATACTGTTGCACGCTCGCACCTGAGGACATAGTCTTGAGAGAAGCTGGTGGATAGTACTGGGCCCACCCCTATTGATGATAGTCACTTAATAGGTTGCTATGTATATTAAACAAGGCTTGATATTCTGGATGATACGAAATACTGTCGAATTTCCTCGTTTAAAGCAGTTGGCTTAAAATAAAGTGTCACGGTAACTCCCAAGTACTCATGAAAGACCAATGCATCGCGCTTGTTTTGATATACTGTCTACTAGTTGACAGTCTTTTGGCTTGCCATACATGTCTTCTGGAAATATTTTTAACACCTACGTGGTATTTCTGTTGGCTATGGAAATGGAGATTTGTCTTTACGCGTAGGATTATCTTGAGGGCTTTAGTCTAGAGTAATTTTATTATTCATTTAGTGGCTTCCTAATAGAATACTACAGTGATATTACAAGGGTTGATTTTAGCTATAGAACAGGTACTCGTATGGCAGGTTTCGTTATAGACCTCCTAGGTATTCTATAGTACTTCTAGTAGGCTGATAGGTAGCCTAGGCCATAGCGATATTGACTTATACGTATACTATAGATCCAATGGGGCCCCCAAGCAGTTACAACGATATGACTTAGCTCCGAAGCGTCTATACTCTTGTTTTGTATACTCTCCTCGATGCTAATTTAGTATTCATAAGCTTCAAAGCTCCATGCGTTAGTGTCGAGCATTATACTCTGATCGAGATAGGCGATATACTCGACTGGTAAATCGATACTTCTGGGCCTTAAGTCTTGTGTGTACAGTTAGGTTTTCAAAAGGTCACCTTTGTCACCAAAAGAAAATCATGACAAGGAAACAGCTTCGTTGTCGCACGAAACGTCATGTAGCCTATCTGTTAGATACTATAGAGTATATATACAAGGAATCATCTTTGTCAACTATGTCTCGGGATAGGCGCCTTATAAGGCTACTACCGTTGAACAACAACGAACCCATGCCATATAACAGCTGTAAACGACTAGCTAGGCTCGGCAGAATTATAGTCGAAAGCAACGGGTGTACCGAAATTCGGGGACCCGTCTGGATTTTTACCGACGACTTGGACCATGGTGTAACGGCTATCATTGCAAGACCCATTGACGTTGTCGGTAGCATGGTAGACGTTCCAAATTTGTGAGCCGTCGGGGCTGCGCACGATGCTATTATGGCCAGTGCCGTAGTGGCCATTGACACCACCTTGGAAAACGCAACCAGAGGACTTTTTCCAAGCAGCGGCGGAGGTCGGGTCTGTTTTGCCGTCCCACTCGAGTGTTGCGAGGCAGTATTCAGGCGTCCAGCAGTCGTTGGCTGAGTATACAATGTACGTCTTTCCAATTTCTTCCATGTATAGAGCATAGGGTCCCTCGTTTACAGGTGTTCTGCTTTGCTCCCATGACTCAAGCGGTTGCGAGATAACCGAGTTGTTGCCCTTTAGTGACACGTTGTCATCCCCTAACTTCTGCATACATAATGACTGGTATTGTACTTCGTGAAAGCACGAGGAAGCTAGGTAGGTACCCCATTTATCGAATTGTATAATGGTTCCATCAATGGACCATTCATTGGATAGTTGCCCGACGTAAGTGAAATCGTCCCATGGTGTAGCGCCGCCTGTTGATGAGTTAGTGATACACTTCTTATTTCACCGACGTATAAATGACTCGGGGTTTCAAACCAAAGTCGCTTTATTATTTTCCTTCAGTGCGTGTGGCATGTCTAAGGTGTAAGGAAATGCGAAGTAATAGAAGAGATACTCACCCTTTAGCACGTGCAGGTTCTGACCGTCGAGATTTTTACTGTTGCCCGCCGTGAAGTAAATATACCACGCTCCGTCAAGATAATGTGTTTCTGGAGCCCAGACGTTACAGCAGCGGCTCGCCTCAGTCGAGCTATAGACGGTCTTCCGTGTCGCCGTCTTGAGGCCATCGATTGTCGTGGCCCGCGCAATCTGCACGTTGCTCCACGACGTAGATAAGAAATAATAGTATCCGTCTGAATATATCATTTGAGGATCACTGCCTCCTGGCCGGCGAATCGGGTTAGTAAAAGCTGTAGCCGGGCTGATCAAGAGGCAAGATGCAACGCCGAGCAAGGCCGTGATGAGCCTTCTTCCGCTGAATAACATGATGATATACTATAAATCTTGGGTCTTTTCAACTAGGCAGTATATAATTTGCACGAAATCCCAGATTAGCCGGGTTGATAAAAGCTATACTCATCTTTGTAGACGAACTTAGCATTCTTATATAACTCTATTCGTTCAAATTATTCACTGCGCCGCGTACCTAGCCATGCTTCTTCACCTTGAGTGCATAGTATTTCCATTGCCAATGATACTGTTAAGAGGGGCGGTAGCTATTTTATTGGAGCGCATATTCCATTCAATCGTACCATCATGGAGTGAGACCCATAGTATTCAGGGAACGTTGCTTAAAAAGGATCAACTTCCCGTTTTGAACAGAGGTGAGCGGAATTAGGAGGATCCCAAAATTACGGCCCTGTCTCCGCTTCTCCAACTTGCTAAGGGCATTCAAGATGCATACATACACGGAATCGAGCCGATTTGGTTAAATATAACGGGGAAACTGGGGAGTTCGGGTGGTTATAAGAGATTCCCTAGTAGATTTTCCACCTCTAGGCTATATACACGAAGCGTTGCTAGGAGAGGATGCTCCAACTTCAAATTTTAAGCCTCCACGTCTACCGTGTAGACCTTGTTTACAAATATTCAACTAGAACTGAAAGCGAATTACCTCTACCTACCCGAGATGATTGGCGCGGGTGTCCAGACTTTTACTCCGTGTTATTCGTATTGCATCAGATAGAACACCGAAAGACTAACTTGATATATATTGCACCAATAGACATCTCTAAGAAAAAGATGTACGTTTTATTGCCATCTATCATTACAGGACACTGCCTTTTCCACCGTGTTTCTTCGGGAAACCTATTTACCTAGGGTTTCAAGACATTAACTGCCAAAGAAACAAGATCTTGGCGAGACAAGATTACGCAGCGCAAGGCAGATAGATACATACCTATGCATCCATTCCAACTTTCATAAATACGGAGTTGAGTACTTCCTGAAACTAGCAAGTGGTGTGCCGGCGTCTGTCAATCCAGCGTACTCCGATTGGTCTTTGCTACCTGCACACCTGCTGATCGTCATCCCCGGCGAGGTCATCAAATCGATTTCGTGCATGGTCTTTCTTCTCGCTCGACAAAGCTCAATATTTGATCTGAGCGGAGAATGTGTCCGATTATATGTTGCCCGACGAAAATGATATTGGTAGCTGGAGATTGAGACATGCCATTGTCCAGCTCACATCATACGTGCTAATAGATGCTAGTTATCGTTCGAATAAGCTCCGGAACCGTAAGCAGAAATACCGTGTACATTATAAGGATGGAAGTTAATAGCTTTGGTGGTACTCATGCTTAGAAGAGGAATAAACCAACTGGAGATAGACTCCGGTGTAAACCACCCGATGATAGAGTCCATATGCTCCATAGGTAGTTAATTAGTAATTGATTCCTCTGTAAGTACCTTTAAGATTGAACAACTGGAGGTTCCGAAGTTCCGAAGTCTCCGGCCGCCCTAAACACCTTGGATGAAACTAGCCATCTATCAATATAATAGAGACGAGTCGCCTCGGCTTTCCGTTATTAGCTAGGTCTCTTTCGTGATCGGCTTTCTGTCGCGTCTTGGGCGCCTTTGATGTTGTGCTTAAGCCATGGGTAGATCGGGTGGGTGGTTGTGAATCTGGAGCCTTCCTGGTTAGATGTCCTACCTGATTCGCAATCCGAGACACTCATTTTCGACTTAGATGTCTCCAGTGGCGCTCTTGCAGACTCGTCAATACGAAAAATTCCGACCTGCATCCAGTGACATTAAGTGTCCATTTCTAGGCACTGATGATCGTCTACCTTTAATTCGTCAGATAGCTGAAGGAACCTTTAGGGTGGCCATATTTGGGTCTTGTGATTTTCATTAGTGACATATCTTATTCGCTCTTCTGGCATCAATGTTAAGAATTGCCAGACAGAGCCACCATGAAGAACCTAGGGGGGTGGTTTAAGGGGGTAGGCAGAACATAAGCGCTTAGTAGGACTAGGCAGGATTTTTGAGCTTGTCATGAAGACCTCTTTTTTGAAATTGAAATATTAGAGGATCCAGTATTATTACTCTTCACTGGGCGGACAACAGTACTATTTTACTCTCTAGCTCCTGCGAAAGCGGTCAAACTGATGACACATGGTCCTACTTAGGAATGTGACATTTTATTCCAAAGATTAGTATCAGAGGCAGTGTATAGAGAACTCTATTCCATGGCGGCTCTACGTTATAACCGTAAGGTGTGAGCATCATAAGTCGGTAGTATGAGATACTTATGCTCAAGATAATCAAGTAACTCCAGATACCGGAGAAATGTTTGACGAGTTATCTTTAGCTAGCTAAAGGAAGAAGGATACGACAACATCAAGCGGCGCCCCATACGCCACATCATAAGCCATAGTAGCCAACGACAGCTCTCCTTGACATGTAAGCCTTACATTCATTAATTGTTATATCGAGTAGTTAGACAAGACGTCTGGTTTCTGTTTCTGTTTATGATGGGCTTTGTTGCATAATATCCGCATCGCGATTAGATGAACGGGATACATGAAGGTTGTACTAAGTAGTCAAATTATATCGATGGCCTTGTTGATGGCAATATGGATCATCTACTACTTCTCCGTACTGAGCACCGAGACTCGAGATTCTCTACAAGCTTCGTACAGTAAAGACAGGAGTCTTTTTAGGCGCCATTAGTTCTTGCGACTAAAGCAGATTCTAGGGTTACCAAAGATACAACACATATAGTATTATTAGTGACATAGACTGATAGGTTGTATTGCAATTCAAGCACCAACCAAGTCAATCTATGCTTACCTAGCGTGTATAGTATACTGATTTAAACATCAAACTAGATCTATATAAACATATCATGATTCATCGGAAATGTCGTAATACCCCCTATATATCATTCTTTGTTGTGGTTCTACTTCGTGTTCGTAGCATATGACCAACAAGCCAAAGATTTGTGAACACGATAATCTCTGAAATCAATGTCTATCATACAAATGGGAACCTAACGTATCTGGAACCTACAGACGACTATGCTGGAGTCTAGTGTGAGATTAATGGATAATCTGTACAACATGGATTCGATGACGATGTGCTACAGTTGGCTCATCCCGGCATTAATCTGATGCTGTAGAATAGATGTATGGCGTAGAAAGATGACTATTACAGGCTATATATCTAAAACAATGAGGGGTTAGTCGATATCCCTGACTTGGCGTTTTTATGGTAGCTATCTAAGATGTGATGTAAAATTGTCTCGCACGTACAGATTTTGTTAGACATCTGGCGGTCAGGTGTAATGTGCCTATAGATGAATATCGTCAAAAAGTTGAGATATTCCACCCCACTAAAGAGTATCGTACCCTGTATAAAGCTAGAATACTGGGTAGGGGCAGGTAGATAACCCGTTTTGATAGACCGAAGCACTAGATTAGTTCTCGCATATATATTAATCGAATTATTATTTACGTTGCTAACGAAATAGGAAGATTCCCCCTTTTCCCTCCCCCATCTTCATGGGTGTCTGTGGGTTGGTTTACATCGATTCGAGGTGGAGACTTTAGATCTTCAACTTTTCGGAACCTTGCCGAAGCCATAAGCAGCCAAACCGTTCTGACAGATAGGCGAATCACCTACAATGAGGCTCAATTATTTGTCCAGGATAAGTCTGTGGCTCATGCGGTGTGCCAGCCAAATTGACCCAGAGCCGTGGATGGATACACGGATACACGGATACACAACGCTTATTCTGTCTTCGGTATTAGTGAACTCAGCAGAGAGCCAAAGAATGCATATTTCCGCTTATTCAGATGGGAAACTCGAACAGGGTAGTCAAGCCTCCCTCTTCCCTCCAAGTGCTATGGCACCATGTACGCAATTCCCGTTCGTGTGACTAGGTATATAAGACCGGCTATTATTAGCCTACAGCAGGATGATAGAAAAGTAGACTTTGATCCGCATTCTTTTCCGAACGAGGTTAAGAGCTGAAGACCGGGAGCAGCTGAGAATTGTCATAAAAGGATATCAGAGTGTCAATCTCACCAGACCTGTAATTTGGAGATAGAAGGCCAGCACCAAAACCAGGGGTGATCGGTCCTGTCAGCTTGATAGATACAGCTGTTACGAGGTTGCGAGAATCCTAGCTAGGGATTTGATGGTCTTTATATCCAGGTACATATATCCTGTCGTCGCGCAAAAATTTCGCTACAATTCACTTATACCATTATTTCAACGAGTCTAGCCTTACAGTTTCTCGTCGGTTTATGTTCAGTATGATGGTTTAGTATGATGAATTGAGACTTACGAGTCCCTCGGCTAATGACCCGAATTCGGAAAGCGGCCGGTTCGGGGAAGTAATGCGTGGCACTATTTCACAGTAACGGTAACACACAATGCTGTTGGGCTTGGCTTGGCCTTAACAGCAATAACCTGTAAGCATTCTCACGTATGTATATTCCTGTTTCCTGTCGTATGATGTGGCTCGTGACCGCGAATGTACCCTTGATCAGTCAGTCCTCATTGTCGGAGTCGAGGCTTCATATGTGGCTAGTTCCGGAGAGTTGCTCCCAACAAGCACTGCCTCTTTTCGACCATTGGACTTGTCAATGAAACCGGCGTTTACATAGTAGTGTAGTTTTGAAGAAATAATATGGCAATATTTACGCTAATGCACCATAGGTAGCTACCGGGACCGGCCATTGAATCGCGACGACTTGAAATAGATGAATGGGCGGTAGAATAGGTCGAGGTCCAGACGTGGTCCGAATGGAGAAGACGGAGTCTAGAGGACAGAGTCTAGACTCTTACATAGCATATATATCCGATCTGTTTGATCTGTTTGTCGCGGAGTAGTCTGTACTATTATAATATGTCTAACAAAGTAGCGGGCTTTTACTTGTACGCTAATATTTGAGGAAGTGTAAAATATGGAATATTCTCTCTAAGAGGTAGGTACCTAGGTAGGTAGGTAGGCAAAGACATAGTAGTTAAAGCGTTGA